TTTGAAGATCGCACCTTACCTCTCCAGCTAGGGATGCATCCGTATGCGAACTGTGCCCTTAAATTAAAAAGCTTGATATAATAAAATTTCCATCAAAAATTTCACTAATATATTTCTTTAAAAAATTATTAAAAAAACACACTACCAATGTATTTCTAGAAAATTATATTTTCCTATAACAATTGTATATCTTAAAATAATAAGTAGAGTTAGAGGAAGATTAACCCAATAAAAAATCTTCTTTTTTTCAAAACCAATAGCATCATTGCAAAGAGGATGAGAGAGAATGATATTTAATTAAAACTAAAGATTCAACATGCATACATATAAATCGTTTGCTACATGCTCTCTTATACATATACAAAAGTTTGATTAATTCTAACATTTTTTAATTTTTTGTTATTTCATATATATGTAACACAAAACATTTAGATTGATCATTGTTTTGTATTTAATGGTGTTTATGTTTTTGTTAATCACAATCCTATACTAAGTTTTGTTTTGTTTTTTTTTGTTTTGTTTCTTCTTCTTTTTTTTGTAATTTGTCTAATAAGAATCCTGCACCTTGGGTTACAATTTTTCAATTTGTTAATGTAATTTGTTTATTTGTTTTTTACTCATTTCTATTTATTTTTTTTTTACATTTACTTTCTGTACTTTCTTGTAATTTATAAAAGTAAAACCTAAAATAAAAAAAAGAAGAAGAAGGAAAAGTCTTTGATAGCATGAAGAAAAGAAAAATAAAATAATACCAATATTATTATCAATTTTTAATTGCAATAGATATTTTGTTATTACGGTTTATTTATTATGTAAATCACGTGACTTGTTTTTGTATATTTTAAATATAAAAATAAAAGTTAATTTTTTTCTCTATTTTCTTTTAAATATTTACAAATATGTAATTTTTCATATTTAATACTTACTTATAAGTGAGTGATAAAATTGAAAAATACAAAAAAAGGGAAAACAAAATATTTATTAACCTAAATACAAATTACAGTGATAAATAATATAATTAAAATTATTTTTAAAAAAAATCAACCGCAAAATATGAGTTATAAATAGAATTATAACCATATTTTGAAGTTGACTTGATATATATTTGTATTTTTAGTTTTTCTAATTTTCTAGAATAATATTTACTTATAACTAAATAATATATTTATTAATACACTTAATAATAATTTTAGAGTAGTTTAGAAAATAATATAATTGAAAGTCTAAAAAACAATTATTATCTAATAGAAGCTCATATGTGAAGATGTATCTATCAAATTCTCTATATTTCTATAGACTCTCTATAATTACGTGCAATACATATGCATATCGCTAACGGGCATGTTCTACATTAAATCTCTTATAGAAACTGTCTAGGATCCAAAAATTTAGGGATATAACGTCCTCCACCTAACTATCAAATATGAAAAAATGTTAATAATAAATAAATACACACATTTAATGTGTTAGGGAGAATATTTTCTTGAATTGAGTTTAATCTTTAAATAGTTAAATTTAATCGTTTAAGTGTTTAAATTACATTTTGTTTTTATGAAACTACTCATGTGGCGATACTGAAGTGAATACCATATTCCATATCGAGAAAATCCTGACGAATGGGTCTTTTGCCCGAAAGAGCAAATATATAGTATACTCCCACATGACAACACGTTAGCCTCATGTTATTGACTCACCCAATTTAAGGAAGACAACGTATGCTATGAGCATAGATTACTTCTCTACTCCCTCGGTCACATGATCTACTTGGGAGATTTCTTTTACTATGAAATTTTGGTAGCGACTTTAAAATTAGTGATTCATCGTCATCATTATCTTTTCTCAATTATTTACAGGCGGCTACACGAATCCTGACTCGTCATTCAGCTCTATTAAAGGTTATACCCTCAATGAGGTCATAAGTTCCCATATCTTTTCATACTACTTCCAACCATGTCTTTTTTGCCATACCCCTTGTCTTTTTCCGTCATTTCGCTTGAACTGGCTCGCACCTCCTAATAGGTGTTGTACTTCGTCGGTACTGATGGGTTCATGTGGACTTTAAAGGCCTTATGAGTGCTTGTAAAATGATATGATATAATGGAACATAAACTCAGTGGGAGTGTGGTACCTCGCAGACCATACTAAGCAAATAATGGTTTGCAGATACCGATCTGTGCTTAACGATCTAAGCCAGTCGGTTGGGAAAAACCCATGTTACCTGGGCATGAAGAACAAACCGATAAGGGTTTATGGGTTAGTCCTTGATGAAGTCGGAGAACATGCCCAGATGAGTGAGCCGAGGGACTATGTGACCCTTGTGTGTGATGGTGGCCTACAGAGACAATGGCCAAAACCTCATCCATGTACCATCACACGGCATACATATCGATAGATCGCTCAGGAAAACTAGAAATCCACCTTTTAGGTGAAGCG